GGGGCGGGCTTCTGCTTCACCTCCTCGGGGTAAGGCGTAGCTACCAGGCGTAACTGCTGTTAACGTGAAGCGCACGCCGAGCGTGACCGTCTTTAGTCATCGCTAAGCCTGCAGAGTTTTCAGGTAAATCAATCAGCGTGTTTATTGTTCAGCCTCTGAGGAAATTGGCATTTTATCCTTTCAGAAACCATTACGTCGTCTGCAAACAACTCATCGGCCCATTAAAACACCGTGTGCGCACACATATATATGTAAAGCTATGTGTGAATCGTGGATAACTAACCTAAAAGTACCAGCGTTTTGAAGAAAGCATATAGTTTGTAAATCCAGCTATAAAACGTATGAAAATGGTTCAAAGCTGCAGCAGGAGAGGTTTAGACTGGACACTAGGGAAGCATTTCTTTACCATGAGGGTGGTCAGACACTGGAAGAGGCTTCCCGGAGAGGTGTCTGATGCCCCAAGCCTGGCAGTGTTTAAGAGGCATTTGGACAATGCCCTTAATAACATGCTCTAATTTCTGGTGGCCCTGAATTGTTCTGGCAGTTGGACTAGAAGATCGTTGCAGGTCCCTGCCAACTTTTCCTTCCCTCCCCTTCCCTCCCCTTTCCCCATGAATACTGGTAACTATTTCCACTTTGATCCTGCTTCTGCTGTTTTAGGTGAGACTTGTCCCTAGAAGCATGAAGTTTACTGTTTGTATTATTTTGCCAGTGAGTTTTGTTTAGCGTTACGAAGCCACCTGCAGAAGTGCAAGTAACAAAAAGAAGATTCTAAGTTGTAGGGCTATAATGTACATTTTCAAAGAGCTCTAGCATTCCAGATAAAAAAAAAATGCAGAGATGCACTGTACGATACTTTGAGTTGAGCTTTCTGAAGCCCTTATTTTCAGCAAAATCACAGTAGAAGTGGTTGGAATTGTATTTGTGGTAGTGCAGAACAGTTGTATGTACCTACATACTGCATTTTCCACCCGTTCTCATTATTTTGTGGGGTATTTTTCTGATACAGATTATATTAATGGCAAATTTCAAAACATGAGTCAAAGTCATGACAAAGTTTAGAAGCTAATCATCCTGTGAAAGAGAGTGTCTGAAGAGAAGTGTTTGACCTAGGCCTACAAAGCATGGAAGAATACGAAGTGTTGAAAGTACTGGGAGAGGGATCCTTTGGCAGAGTTCTCCTAGTTCATCATAGAATCAGTGACCAGAAGTATGCAATGAAGGAAATAAGACTTCCCATGGTAAGTACGACATGTACATCACCTCACCCACCACTTAAATTAAAAAAAAAAAAACCAAACACCAAAAATCGTAATTCTGGATAGATTTGCGAAATGCTGAACATTTTTGCTGAGAGTTTTGTGTATTAGACAGTTGCATGGTATGGTTACCATATAGCTATGTCTGAGTCCATGTTGTGATAACAAGTAAAGTAGCAACATCTGATCTGTGTCAGAAGGTGTGTGGTTTACATTTTGGGAAGTGTAGCACATAAGAAGACGCTTGGAATGAAACCCCTGTTCTCCTGATGCCGTTGGCTGGATTCCTGTTGGTTTCACTAGAACGCAGATTTTATCTGCAATACCTAATGAAGAAATTAGTCTCATATACTTGCTGGTAACATTATATTCAGGTTACCTTCTCTGTACTTTGCTAATGAAAAACGTAACAAAATGGGAGGCACTGGCTTTATCGAGGTGGAAGCTCAGTTAATACCTGGGCATATGGCTTTATACCGAGTTCATGCAGTGTAGACTGTCAGCTTTTCCAGAGTCTGTGTTCTGCTTTGTTACATAGTTCTGTATTGTTAAAACAGAAAAAAACATTAACTGAAGTAGGAAAATATCCTCTTAAATTAAAAAAAAAAAAGCAACTCTCAAAAAACTGATGAGATCTTCAGCTAGTAATAAACCACAGATTAAAAAATAATGGGGTTTTCAAGTTTCCGAATGACTTATTTAAAATAACTGAAGAACAATTCTGAAAAATATTTTCCTTTTGGAAAGTGAGATGCATCACGTGTGTATATGAAAATTTATTAGTGTGACATTTATATAAGTACTTACATTTTCAGTCTTCATCTGATGTAGAGAACTCTAGGAAGGAAGCTGTTCTTTTGGCTAAAATGAAACATCCAAATATCGTTGCCTATAAAGAATCATTTGAAGGTAAATATAAAAACTTAGAGTATCTTTATTTTGTTTAAAATTGCGTAGTCCTGAACGGATCAAGATTACTTCTGGTGTTTGTTTATAGTACATGTTACAAACAAAATACGTCTTTATTATACTACATAATACACAGCATATAGTCAGAGCTCTATAGTAACGATAATGTACTTAACCTGCTAATGAAATTGCTAATTATTCTTAAATTATCTAACATTTAGCTGATGGACATCTGTATATAGTGATGGAATATTGTGATGATGGAGATCTAATGCAAAAGATTAAACACCAAAAAGGAAAGTTCTTCCCTGAAGATACGGTAAGAAAAGACATTGTTTTGAACCAGGGACCTAGGAATCTTTTTTCATGTAAACTGAAGGACCCTACACCACATAAAAAAAATTATAGATCTACAAACATCTTAAAGTACCTTAAATGAAACAAAGTCACTTCTCAATAGAATAGAAGCATTATTTCTTAGGTAATTTCCAGCAGAACAAGATGAAAATTGGACTGAAAGGAATAAGAAAGAAATTGCTGTCTATACCTGGGAAATGTGCAGGCAATGTGAAAAATACAGTCAGGTTTGCATGCATAAAGTTATGCAATTAAATAACAATTTAACATCAACTTCAGCCTTCAGAATTTAAAGCACAGTAAGAGGTACTGCAAATGAAAAGTAAATAAAGCACTCTGGTAAGATAAATGAAACTAGCCAGGAGACTAAATGCCTGCATATTATGTAGCAATTAGTTGTTTAAATCATTCAACAGGCATTAACTCCTTTTGCCGCAGAAGCTATGAAATTACTTAGGACAAGGTCCAAAGTGACATTGTAGTGATTGAAAACTAGTTCCTGCCACAGTTGGAAGCATCATCTGAGTTAAAACGAAGAGACCAGCATCCTCAGCTAATCTAACATTCAGATTGGCCAAGCATCTCCAAGAACTTTATTTTGTACTTTCAAAAAGGATACATTTCCTTTTAGAAACAGTATGTTATCTCAATGTGTTTTTTTGTTTGTTTGTTTGTTTTTTTAAATTTGCTAATTTACCATGAAACTATAATTGGAATGGTTATAAAGTGCCATGTAGTGACTCCCTAGCTGCATTATTGTTACATATTATTGGGGTTTTCTAGACATGGGTAGCAAACATTCCTTCTGCCGTGTTAAAATATACTTAATCTTAAAGAATTTAGTCTTTCATGCTCACTGGAGCCCATTATGCTAGGGTTACTTTTAACTCCCAGATTTTCTGAACATGTATTGTTTGTTTCCTTCTTAATTTTTTTTTTAATTTATTAGTAAAGTATTCATAATATACAGCATTTGGCTGTTATGACTCTCAGTTATTCTTTTCAGATCCTTCACTGGTTTGTGCAGATGTGCCTGGGTTTGAAGCACATTCATGATAAACGGGTGTTGCACAGAGATATCAAATCCAAGGTGAACAAAGCAAGTTTTGTTGCCATTAATAAACTCTATTCTGCATTTGAATGTTCAACTTCCTCTATGATAATTCCCTGTTACTGCTACATGCTATGTTTTTCATTTGGGCTTAAGAATGTTAGGTAAATGAAATTGTTGAGTGTATGGGATGGTGTCATGTTGTGGGCATAAACATGTAGGTACAGCTAAACCCTTCATATCCATGCCGCTGATAGCACCAATTGCTTATGACAGACTGCATATATTTTAAAACAATAACAGAAGTATAAAATGCATATGGAGTATGCGGTTTGTAAGTAATCTCGCCTCTGATTTTTTTCTTTCTTACTCTTTCCTAGCAGAAAGATAGAAATTCAGAAGAAAGTGTGACCTTAGTGGTTTGAGTACAGCATAGAGATTAAGGCATTTTTAAGCTCAGATTCTTCCTCTGCTACTGATGCTGGGGCTTTAGGCCCATATAACCTTTCCTTTTCCTTTAAACACAACATAGTTCTTAACTTTTTTTTTTTTTTCTTTTGTAGAAGTGTTAGGGGGAGCAAGTAAAAGGAAATATAAAATATCAGAAGTGATTGTTCCTGTGTTTTCTGTATATACAAACTGCAGAAATGTTTCCTAGAAGGATATTTAAGTATGTTAATCTGTGCTCTTGAAATGCAGAATGTCTTCCTCACTCGAAATGGAAAAGTCAAATTGGGAGATTTTGGATCTGCGCGCCTTCTTGCACAGTATGTGGATATCTCCACTGATCTCAGTGGAGTAAAGTTTTATCTGACCATTGATAAATAGTACAGAGTTCTTTAATCATTATTTTTCATCTGGCATTTCTTCTTTGTCATTTCAATAGTCCAGTGTCATATGCTTGCACATATGTGGGAACTCCTTATTACGTACCTCCAGAAATATGGGAAAGCATGCCGTACAACAACAAAAGGTATTCGTGTCTGCAGTGATCACAAATAATGCCTGACTGATCTATGTCTTTTTATTGCTGTCTCAGTTTGGCTTTGTGGCTTTTTTCTCGTTTGGAGAAGATATTGGGCTGAAGAATATTTAGAAAGAGGTAATTACAGGTTTTTTGAGAAGAAAAGCCATAAATTCCTCTTTACTTAGGTAACTGAAAGTGCAGTCTAGTCTTAGAAGTTTGAAAACTGGTGTGCAGACCTCTCTGTGCATTTGGGAGAGTAAATACATACATACAAACCTACCCACATGTGTGTATGTATGCACATACATATGTATGTGTTTGTGTCTTTTAGCTGGTCTTACTTTTTTGGCTAATCATATTTTTTAAGCTTTTATTGCCAGTCCTGGTAATGTAGGGATAATGGCTACAGAACTGATGACTTAGATTTGTAGAGCCCAGTTATTCTGGTCCTTACGCAAGAACTTCTGAGAGCATCTTGATAGTATGATGTTCACAGCTTCTTCCCAGACTCCAAAATACTAAGTCATTTTATATTCCCTCCCCTAGATTTGTTCTTTGACCCTAGTTGTACCTCAACCGAGTGACTCATTTTCTAGGGAAGAAACCTAGTGCTGAAGTTTTTTCTGCTTCTCTTGCAAGAAAGGCGTCAGTTACTTCTTGTGCAGATGGCAGTACTTGCTTTTGGTGGAAGTTGATTTTTTTTTCGTTTTTCAGTAGGAGAATTCTTACTGGCAAGGCCAGAATTCCAGCTGTCAGAATTAGGATTGTGTGCCTGCCATCTGATGTTAAGGGCCATGCAATACAAAGGCTTTGAAGTGTGGAAAGATAAATATTGTTGCAGCAAATTGCTTAAAATACATTCTAGGAATAAAAAGCCAACTACATCTGTGTGACAGTCATCCTTTTTTACCTCAGGGTAGGATAAAATAAGATCATTTCCACTGGAGAAGTTAAGCACATAATTACATTGTCTTTTATGGTTACTTACATTAATTTTTAGTTTATTCAATTCAGTAATGTACACATAATGAAATTCACTTTTTCTATGCAGGAGATTAAATTGTAATTTTTGGCTCACAATTTCTAAACTTTCTCTGTACCAACAGTGATATATGGTCTCTGGGATGCATTCTTTATGAGCTGTGCACTCTTAGACATCCGGTAAGTATAGCGTTATTGCTATCAGAAAAGTTCTGGTATTCCTTAGAACTTAATTAGCAGTCAGCTGTAGTTTGATGGATTCACAGTCAATTATATATTTGACTGACATGTTTCCTGCTGCTTCTGAAAGAGGGAACTACTGCTCCATCCTTCCTCCTCCACTACATGCCTTCTGTTTTTCAGCAGCTCTTGGCACCTATTGGACCCTTCTGTAAAACATTCAATTCTCTAAATTGTTCAAAAAAATATTTTTTTTCTTTCTTGGTCAGTTTTCCTCAATATTAGTGAGGTGATCTGGGACTTATTAAGGAGTCCAGCAGCTGCCAGACTCCAGATATCTGCAGGGATGTTGCAATGAGCATTGCATTTTACATGCGGAAGATGATCACAGGAGATGGAAGCAAGGACACTAAAAATCTTTGCTAATGAGAGTATATTATATGCAAGTATAGCAAAACGTAGTAAGCAGTTCTGTACCTTGCATCAGTGATACACCTATTTGCTTATTCTTAAATAAGTCACTGTGCAAGCACTATCCTCCTATTAGGACAGCAGCAATCTTGATGGATGGTTCTGTCTTTCTGTCATTTCTGGGACACTGTCTTTTACAGTGTTGATGCTATGCTTCTTATGTGTTAACTTCCTCTGGCTTCTATATACAGACACATGGCTAACACGAGAGCCCTTATCAGGATATATTTGGGGGGTTGGACTAGATGACCCACAGAGGTCCCTTCCAGCCCCTACCATTCTGTGATTCTGTGTGATTCTGTGATATGTTTGTTTTGCAAGAAAATGAGATCATCCCAATTTGAGGTCATTTTGTCTTAGTTTTTCATAAGCAGCAGCTTCCTTTCATTGAGCTAATACTATACCTTGAAATCCCATTTATCAGCAAAAGATTCTCTACAGTTGCAACTGCTAGCAGTACAGGAGTTTAGAAGTGTGTACTGTACGTGACCGAGTGATAAAGGAGCCTGCGCATAGGCACGTGCTAGCCTAAGTAGGTCTGTGGCAAGGCTTTGGCAGTGTCACAGCTTTCCAGGCAGTGCTCAGAGCTGGGATACTAGGGAGTGGTAGCAGCAGTAGTTTTTAGCAGCAGTGAGATGTTATGTATTTGGTTCTGTGCAACGGTCACATATGTTCTTGCATAATCTGTCAGAGGTGATGTAAAAGGAAACCACACACCACGGATGCTTGGCACTCAGCAGCCAGGCCAGCGGAGTGTAGCGTAAGAAAACTTTCTGCATGGAGAGAGAAGTTCTCAGCCAGTTTCACTCAGGCTGTTGCCATCGATGGTTACAGCTGTCTCTGCTGATATTGCAGTCGTCTGATGACTTGTTCTTCGGACCCGTAATTCCTGACTGAAGACCAGTAAAGTTAGCTGGGGAAAGTTAACAACTTCAGCCATTCCATGTAGATTTGCAAGAGGGTATTTGTACCTTGAGAGGCTACTTTTGATAATTCATTTTTTTTTTTCCAAATCGAAGTCTGCATGTTTCCTGACTTGCAGTTTCACTCTAGCAGTTTGTTTCTGATCACAGGTGTATGGAAGTAAAGGACACTAAGATGATCCAAATTTTTTCAGTGCTATATTCCTACAAAAATAAAATTTGAACAATCCTAAATTTACAGGATTAGCTCCCACCTCGTTTCCAGTTGACCAGGTTATTGTTTGCAGTGTCCACTGTGATCTGTTTTTAGTCAGACTTTTTATGCAAACTGTGATGTTTTCCTTCCCAACAAATTTGTGTCATTGTTAACAGAAATAAACGCCTATGTGGTAGCCCTACAAGATGTAAAGGAAAGCTACTGAAGTGTTCCCTCAGGGTCATTATTCCACACCTCTGAATCAGAGCCCTGAAACTGTCAAACTAGGAGCCAAATCAGTATGGTAATAGCAAGCCTACATAGATACATACTATGCATTTTTGTATAATAAAGTCGCTCTTAAACTGTGTCAGCTTCTTTTTACCTTACGTTTAAACTCTGTGCTCTAATGTTAATTTATTTTTAATGCAGTTTCAAGCCAACAGCTGGAAACATCTCATCCTTAAGATATGCAAAGGGTCCTACAATCCACTACCATCTCACTATTCCTATGAACTTCATTACTTAATTAAACAGATGTTTAAGAGAAATCCCCAGAATCGTCCATCAGCCAGTACTATTCTTGCAAGAGGCTGCTTAACTAAACTTGTCAAAAATTGTTTGCCTTCTGAGGTACGGTATATTCTTTGTCTCTAGATTTAAACAGTAGTTTCTACACTTTAGATACTAAATCAGTTTCTTTTGTAGTTTGTTTGTGTATAACAGTATGAAATACAGCATTGTGTAGGTCCTGCTCTAAAAGCCATAAATATAGTTGTAAACTTCTCAGAAAACTGAGTTTTTAGAAGAGTTTGTTTTGAAAATGAAAGTTTAGTATGGACATGATGCTGCTAAAATTAGATGTTGTTAGCTGTTAGCTGTAACAATGCTTTTGTATAGTGAGTCTATTTATAACAAATAGCATGCACAATAATTTGAGGAATGTTAAAATGGTACAGTACTCGCATCTCTTCATACACTTTTCAGATGACAAATGAGTTTGAGCAGATATTAAAGGAAACCAAGAAACATGAAGGCAATGCAGCAAGACCAAAGGGTAAGTCAGCAGCATTTTTCTTGACGTAAGGAATGACAAAATGGCTCGGAATCGTAAGATCTTAAATACAGCTCTAAAACATCAGTATTATATGTTCAAATCTATTTCTAGTTATTTCAAAATCTAGTATTATTGAACTTGTATGGCAAAATACTTGAAAGGTGTAAATTATATTCCAGCATAAGAAATACAGTGCAGACCTTTAATATATACATTGTGAGTCTTAGGACTTGTGCCAGAATTCAACCTTTCAATTTTAAAATGAGCAAAACTTTTAGCTGTTTTATATATTTTAAATGTGACAGTGCTTTCTTTCCCAGAATACGGTGAGGCAAGTTATTTTTGGTATTTAATTTTTAGAGAGGATATTGAATTTTTCTTCTGTATAAATTTTGCTACACCAAAATTTGTATACATTTGGAACTGAATAGTAGAGGGACTCCCTGTTGACATTGAGCTACGTTGACAGAAGTGTGAAGAAGCTGTCACATAATTTTCATTGCGTGATTCAGTGGTGTTGCTGTTATACCTCTGGAATACCACTTTACCACGAATGTTTGCTAAAGATATTAACTCTTGAACCTTTTCCTTAATGTATCAGGTAATGTCATGGCTGGTGAAAGCTCAAATAATAAAGAAAATAGGGTAAGTATTCAAATATAATATTTGTGTTTTAGTAATTTAGAATGTACTGTATTACAGAAAAGTTTATATGGAAAATTATTAGTATGCTAAACCATAGATCAGCCTACTGTGTTCAAATTGCAGAGTTTTCCTGTGCATGACCCACCACTGTAACTTTCTGATGCTTCCCACAGTTAGTTTAGTTCCACAGTGGATTTCTTTATAACCCTGTCAAAAAACTAACCAGAAAACTCTCTCTCCTGTTTTTCTAAGTTTTGGCACGCTGCAGAAAATGGTACATTTTCTTTGCTTTAGGGACACATTTTGAACAGGCTGCTGTGGAAACAGTCTAGTCTGGACATAATTCTCACTAGGTTTTAGGGCTCATGTGGGATTTCAGATGACAACAGATAAGTCACAGGTGGCCAAGAAGTCACCTGTGGGTACATTATAGCACAGCCTGGCTCAGCCATATTGAGTATATTTTTCAAAACATGTTGCCAGTAGGGCTGCTTTTTTTTTTTGACATGTCAGTCTGAGAAGCTTATTATTTGAGTGCATCTTGTTTTCTGTGGGAATATGACTCATTTATATTTATATTGCTACTGTTCTTAAATGTAAAAATACAAAGCCAGAAATTGCATCAAGTAACTATATATGTGCTTAGTTTCAAAAACTGAGATTGTCAAAAAGGGGCACGCATTGAGAAGTGCAGTGCAATTGCAATTGACTTCATGGTGTCAGTTGTTTAGTTTTCAGATCTTTAGACCAGCCATTTAACAGCAAAACTAAAGTAATTAATACCGTGTTAATACTACTGCTTTGTTTTTCTCGACAGTAAGGATAATGATTTATACAGTCTTTACTCTTTTTAAAGCAAAGTACAGATCAAAGGAAGCATAGCCCCTTAGAAAGGAAAAACACTACTAAGGAGTTGAGTGAAAGCACAAAGGAACAAAGGAAATCTGATGAAGAGGGTAAGTTTTATAGTTTTAAGGCTGATGCATTTCCTTATGTATAGTGATATCTAAATGTCAATGATGCAGCCATTTAAACAGAGAAAGCGTACAAGTCTACACCTATAGAACACCATGCCACTGTCTGTTACTTCTGCAGTTTTATTGATTCTTACTGCTCATCTGAGATGGGGAAAAAAAAAAGGAAATAAAAAATATCTTGGTCAAAGTGTTAAAAAATGGCTGAAAACATTTGGTATAGAGGAAATGTATGGCAGACATACCAAGTTCAGACTTGTACATACAGAATCAAACGTCACTGTTAGTGAAGTGCTGTATGCTTAGAACTAGTTTGCATGGACAGAGAATCAAGTTTGATGGTGGTTATCATCTTTTTTTCTGTTGCAATTACAGTAGGAACTTCTGATGTCCTCCCAGGAATCACTGATTTGTCACATCCCCATAGGAAGCAATGGGAAAAGAGGATATCCAACACTGTAGTGGATGTCCTGGAAAATGCATCCTTGCTTTCTTCCAGTTTTACATCTGAAGAGGCTAACAGTAAGATTTAATTAAATGTGGTTTTAATTATATCAGTGATTGTTTACAGATTTTAAAAGCCAAAACTTTACAGAGCGTATTTAAAAGGATGTAAAAATAATTTTAATTTTAATAGTAGTAAACACTCAAAAAGTTCACTGTGCTAAAGGGAATTTCATAGTGGTCATGTGTGACAGGAGGATTGCAAAGAGTGATGAATGCCACAAATAAGATTAGCAACCCCAAAATTATAATCGTGGCTAAGAAATTACCCTACCAACCCTCCTCTTAATATGCCATTTGTGGAGTCAACACTGAGGAATTTACTGGATCCAGAATGCAGCTGCCTGTCATTCAAGTACAGCATACTACTGAGAGCATATAACATCCATACCTCTGCTTCTGTTGTCATTTAACATACAGATAATGCCAATTACAAGAACTATTGATGATGTCGCTCGGATGTGAGGCTGACATTCTTCCTTCTTCCACATGAACAGCTTTTAATTAGAGCACTTAATACGGGTTTTCTTCTGAAAAATGTTTCGATTTGAAAATGCCCCACATTGTATACAATTATTGTAATTATTTAATGTGATTACGGATATCTATTCTAAGTAAATGTGAATAGATGCTATTGAAATAACTAATCAAGATATGAGTAGTCAGAAAATTCCCAAGCTGTAGTAGGAACATTACATGATAATTACGTGCGGGGCAGGGGAAGAGGACAGAACAATGCATGTATGTAGGTGTCCTGCTATTAAAAGGCACAAAAAATGGCCACAGGCTCCATTTTATGAGATTTATAGAGCTGCCAAATAAGCTTACAGAGACGCTGACTCCTCACACGCCTCCAACCAGTTTCTGCTGGCTCCCCGATAGCAGAAGGCTCCACTGTGGCCATCTGTCATTTTCTTTCCTCTTAATGCTGATGGTGTTGACCTCCGCATGTTGAGAGGTCAGTGGTGCTACAGATGGAAATATCTAGACTTTTTTTATCCTGTATTTCTCTGTTGAATGTGATCTTTGTAATCCACACTGATAATGCAATTTTATCTAAGTAGTATTTATTAATGGTTTTGTACCTAGGTGGCTGTGTTGTAAACTACAGTGAAAATAAGCCACGTAAGCAGTGGAACAAGGAAACTCCTCAGACCCTGATGAACATCCTCAGTAACGCAGATGTCAGCTTAGCATTCAAAACATACACTATTTATAAACCAGGTAAACCCCAGTTTGTGGGCAAACCTTTTTGCAAACAGGTTTATTAATGAAGACCTTTTTTTTTTTAACATACGTAGCCGCTATGTGTAGAGATTGTGCACTTGAATTCATGTCACAACAGGCTGTTCTGTTTTTTTTTTAAAGTTTATGAAATGAAACTTGGACTTACAAAAAGCCAGGTTTAGAATTCATGAGTGATTGTACATGTCCAATACATCTCTTTATGATGGACTTTCACTTGGAGCTTGATAGCTGAATGAAGTTGTTTCAAGCATGCGGACACCATAGAGCCATGCGCTCGCCATTCTGCTAAGTGGCAGGGGCGGGGTGTGAGGGAGGTGCAGTAAATACACCAGTCCCACCAGGTAAATCCACCTTCACCAAGTCAGTGGTGCCCTGTTTTGAAGACACGATGGTAAGATGGCACAGCCAAAGAGAACTGCAGTCTACAGATGTGCACAGTCACAGTTGTAAATACTTGGTCTGCACCTCAGTTGCGTTATGAGTTTATCTTCCCACTTAAAATAGGTAACAGCTTGTGCTGGAATCTGCTAAGAACTGGGGACAAATTAGGAAGACTGTATTGTATTTATATTCATAATACCTTTATTTTTAAAATTGTTTTGGTAACATTTTCATTTATATACTTCCAAAGCTGCTGAAAACGTATTAAGAGGTCCACTTTCTGATGAAACTGAAGCATCTGATGAAGCAGATGGTGAACATGAAGCTATTGCCATAGATTCTGAGAGATTTGAGCCTAGATCTGATGAAGATGACACGTATGTCCAAATGACATCCTCGTATTTTTGTTTTCTCTGGCTCCTAAAAGTGATTTTTCCAAAAAGACATTCCTCTGAAAAAAAAAAAAAAATCAGTATTTTTCTCAGCGTCTAAATCCATCCCTCTCCTACATAATATTAAAATTTAGTACCTTTTGATATCTTACAGGTTTTCTTTGCTGTATTTGTAGTAATTGAAGGTGTTGAGATTAAACAGGTTGCTTGTTATTAGCAGACTGGTTTCGCTGACGACTTTGCAAAAATGAAAGCATGAGATGAAATTAGATCCACAGTAAAGTGCAAAACCTGCTTGCATGAAACATCTTTGTACTCCGGCCTTGAAATCGGATAACCAGTGGCCAGACCACTTACTAGTGCTGTGTTTGCTGTATTTGTGTGTTATTCTTCCTACTCTTGCACGCGTAGTGCAGTAGAATCATTTTGGTACCTACTTGGCGAGACACGTTTGTAGAAACTTTTTGACTTCTCTGGTCTGTTTATGCTGGTGACCGGTGTCTGTAAGAGCAGAGTCTGCATCAACACATTCTGAGCAGAAATACTGTGTTTTACAGATGCGTGCATGTTTTGGGGGGTTTTCTTGGAATCTCAGAATCTCAGTTTGTGTCATTGTTTATTGTTGTGGCATGTGGAGATGGACCGCTGAGGCACGTATTGCTGCAGTTCAGCTGCAAGCTGTTAATATCGACGCGTTTGCAGTCTGTTAGTGTCTGCGTTTCGTTTTGCTTTTGATAAAACTTACTTGGGTAAATTCAAAAGCGAACATATATTGGTTCCTTAGTCACAATGATGCTGGAAGTAAGTCTCTTTGTGTTGGTATTTTTAATATAATTTCTCCTAGTTATAGGGTAATTTTCAGGGGAGAAAAGCAAGGGGAAGATTATTATAAAGTTGTATTTTGCTTTGCAAAATAACATTTTGAAATCTATTTGTAGGGACTTCGAGGAAGATGACCCAGACTGGGTGTCGGAACTGAAAACAGTATTGAAACACAGCAACTGAAAACTTGAATTTACCTAGAATAACCGCAGTTAGGCTTGCCAGTGTTTATAATACAAATCGTTGCTAATAGTTGTAGTTATTAATAAAATTATTTCAGTCAAAAAATTCCGAGTGGGCATGTTTTCTGTGTCACAAAACTGATGGTGAAAAATGCACGACGATCTCGTTTAGCTAGAACGCTTGAGAGTAACTAAACGAGCCTAGATGCTACGTGTACTGGCAGTCGGTAAGG